CATATTATTCTCTTTTATCTTACATTATTTTCAATTGTAAGATTTTAGTTACATACTGGGTTATATGCTCGTTACATAATTTTATATTTTTTTCAAGAAAGAGTTAATATCATATGATATGAGGCTCCAAACATGAAAATATATAATCATGTTTTCTTTTATTAATCATTGGTAAGCTGTAGTTAAATGGTTAAAATGAAATATTAATGTAATTTTTCCATGATATATTCTGGAATGAAATAGAATGGTATTAAACCAATGGTTATTAGAAGAATTAAAATATAACTAGAGATTATGAGCGTAATAAAAATATTATTTTCAATTTATAATTTGTTGATTAATTGAGTTTAAAATTTTATTTTGATCATGCTCTCTCTCTCTCTCTCTCTCTCTCTCTCTCTCTCTCTCTCTCTCTCTCTTGGAATATATTATAGAAATGTTAAGGACTACTTTTGTTAAAGATAGAGAGATTATAACAACTCAAATATATGAAATAAATTTATTTTAAAAATATAAAAATTCTTAAGTAGGGTGCTTTGGTGCCACTATAGGAAAATCACATATTACCTGCTAATTAAAAAGTTTTTCAGTGGATTTCAGGTGAAATATTTTCCGGCAAAATTTTGCCAATACCTCCCGAAAAAAAAAATTCATCTTCATCTTTAAGGTAAATTATGGGCTCATCAAAATCATTCCTTGTTTTTACATTGCATTGGGTAGCATGTTTATTTTGCGATTATAATGGATAACTATGTGGTTGTTAGAATTTTCATGTTTTGAAATTTGAACAGAAAGAATTTTTTTTCTTCTTTAGTATATATTTAATTCATTCTATTTATTTTATTTTTCATTTAATAACTAGATCAATAAAAATTCAGATCATTTTGACATCCACAAGTGATTAATTACATTAAGATGTGAATGGGATTACTGGAGGTGGTAGGAATACTCCTAAAACATCTCAAAGTAAATTTAAACTTGCTAAAGAGGTGAAGATGTTGGATCTAATCAAGGGAAATCAGAGAACTAGAAAAGGAGAAGGAAGTATCGAAAAGGCTGGGGCATCTTCCCCATTCCACCTTTAAATGTCTTCAATAATGTTTTGGAATTGTAGGGGAGCAAAGAAAAAAGAAGCTTTCCACTATTTGAAGAGTTTGGTAGTAGAGAATGATGTTTTTTTTTTCATTGGTCTAATAAAAACTAAACTTAAAATTTGGATAAAGATGGAGTAAGAAGAATGGTTGGTGATGATTGGGATTTCTAACATTTTGCTGCTATTGGAACTTCGGGAGGTATTTTAGCTTTATGGAAACATAGAACTTCATCTTTTTCTGTGCTGGATTCATCCAATCAATGCATAATTAGGAACAAAGATTTGTATGAAAGAAGGAAATTATGGAAAGTGTGGAGCCATGTATAATGCAATCATTAATATGGTTCTGGTCACATATAAATTATTCCACTAATCATTATTCTAATACCATTTTATCATGCCCTAGGATCTAAAGTGAAAAAAATTCTTTTTTTTTCTTCTTTGGTATCTATTCAATTCATTATATTTCCTTTATTTTTGATTTAATAACCAGATCAATAAACATCCATATTATTTTGACATTCATAACTGATTAGTTGTATTAAATAAAACCAATAAATAATGCACAATATAATTCATATTTATTATAGTAGTAATCAATATTTATATTCTGTCAGTAGACAAGTCCAAAATAATATATAATAGCCTTCATAGGCTATAAAAGAATATACATAAACTAGAATAACAGAAAGAAAACTAAAATATCATTATAGCTAAGCTTCAGTTTATAGGCTCACTATCTATCTAAAATCTTATAAAATAACGTAATGAGCATGAAAGCCCATAAAATAATTAAAATTTTACATCTAAAAATCAATGAAATAAAAAAAAGAAATAATATGTTGTAAATCATATAATAGACTTTATAAATCAATATATATATACCAGTTATCTGCACTAATTACCCATTTTATAATATATTACATCTCAGTCCATTACATCATTAATCATAGTATCAGTGGCAATTATAATATCAATAACAATATCAGTATCAGTATTCTCAGTGTAAGTCCTATCAGTATTAATAATTAGTAAAGGTGATAAGTGCTCATAATATTAATGTACATATAATATCAATAACAATAAATAGTATTAGTATTAATAATAATATTCACATATTCAAAAGAGGGTATCCTGAAGGTATCTTACTATTGTACTTATAACTCCTAATCAATTGTCCCTTATGACTCTCAATTAGTGTGTTCCTTATAACTCCCATTGAATCACTTGAATCAATCACCCTGACTTCTTATAACTCCTAATCTATCTCCAGCTCCTTATGACTCTCATGAGATGACTCCTATTAATGGACCACGTGGATCTTGATGATATCATATTAGTTTATCAAAATATATATATGATATCAATCAGTACATCATATCCATACATTATATTAGATTCATACTAGTAGCAATATTATATTTTATGTATAACTTAATTATATCAATCATTTTAGTACATATTATCTTATAATCTTATCATGACAGATCATAGTGCAGTACTTTTCAACCTATTTCTAGCCCATCTTTTTCTTACTCATTTTACCCAAAAATGTGTATACATATTTAATTGATAAAAATGTAATAAAATCATATCATATTGTTCAGAATGATCAAATCTATAATATATCAAAAGTTCTACTGTGAAAGCTTATGAAATCATGATATAATTCAAATTTTATAGATTTTGGAGAGATAAATTTGTAGAAATCAAAATCATCAAAAATAAAAGTAAGTGGATACCTACGTACAATGAATAGAATCATTTTCATAGAAGAAATGACGAATGAAAAAGCCCCAATCAACTTTTTATCACTTCCTTCTTACTTTTAACTCTTCCTTTCCCTTTTCTTCTTCCCAAGCAAACCATGGCAGAAAATGAGGTGAGAGAGTATATATATATATATATATATATAAACACTGTTAGTGGTCTACCACCATAGCGCTCAGACCCAATGTCGCATGCAGAATTTAGAATTACTGTAAAAATAGAAACTCAAACATCACAATGGCGGTTCTTAGAACCGTTGTGCTCTCAAGCCTAGCATCGTAGTGCTCATAAGCACAGCACCGAAGCGCTCTAGTTCAAACATAAATTAAAAATTTTATATTTTAAAATACTTTTCATTTTTGGGATGTTACAAGAATTAAATTTTGAATTCTAGATATGCTAAGGTTTCATTTTTTTGTATAAAATTTTCTTTAAAATAATGAAAAGCAGTATTCAAAAGCTGTCCCAAACAAAGCTTAAATATTTTAGCATTATAAAACTACAATCTAATTTGAACTATACAAAATTCAATGATGAAGAAATTATAAATTTAAAAATTATCATTAGATAGATCAAAATAAAAATATTGAATAATATGTTTTGGTGTATATCATAGTTATATATAAATATTATATATGATTCATCATAAAAAAAAACCCTTTGATTGAGCACGAATCTTGAGGCATATTCAAGTTGTTATTTTTCAAAATTAAATTTTGGATCATCCAAACTTCAATTTTAGGAAACTTATTGTCAAATTGAACATCTCAAAATGACGAACCCAACGACATCAAAATTGTCCAATTTGAGCCCATTTTAGCTTAAATCAAGGGCTTAAAATATATTGGGATGCTTTAAAGAAATATTTGGATGACCAAATGATATCCAAATATAACATGTCTATAATCAAATTAAGCGGATCAACGAAAAGAATCTGACGAGCCTAAGATCACTTAATTATGACATCATTTAGGCAATTAAATCTTTAATGAATGCTCTATGATCGAGGAAAATAATATGGGTTGTCTGATGGACCACTCCAAATTTGCCCTAGATCTTCTCTATATTTATAGTGTGTGTGTCACTATCAAAATTTATAAATAGACCACACTCTCTACATGGAAGACCTTTTGGCTAGAGGTTGGAGAGAGTTATCCACCTTATGCAAATTTCTGTCAATTGACCATTGTTGGACCTCCGCCCGGCCACCCGACCGCCGCCACACCTCCCCCTTGCCACCGACTATCACTGAACCTCCGCCTATCAACCAACCGTTGCGAGACTTCCACTTAGCAACTGACCGTCGTCAGACCTCCGCCCAGCCACCAACCACCACCATACCAAAGATGGACCTCTGCTAAGTAGTCGAATGGCCACCGGACCACTACTCGGCCGTCGATCTATGTTGAACCATCTCTCGACCACTACTACTAAATTTCCGACCTCCGTCGTCCAACGACCACATTCATTACAAACACCGTAGTACCTATACGAAGTTCAACCAACTCTACAAACTACTGTAATTTCATCGTCTACAAGTTAAGGGATGGATCAACCTTTATAAATAACTCAAGTATAGCGTAATATTCTCACCTGGGCAAGGCCCCATGATTTTCCCGTTTTAAAATTTCACGTTAAATTTTTTTTAGTATTCTATTGCTCTCTCAATTATCTATTTGTGTGATGGACATTCGTGCATCACTAAGATAAAAAAATTCTCTCACTCCACCGCCATGAATTTATGAGTTAGTAACAAAATGAAATAAAATAAGATTGGAGATAATATATATATTAAATATTTGAGGATTATAAAATAGAAAACTAATTTAAAACTTATTAAATTATGTAACATTTAATGATGAAGGAATTGAAAGATAATGTTTTGAAACAAACAAACTAAAAAGAAAAGAGTTTAAAAAAACAAAAATAAAATAAAAAAATTAAAAAAAAAAACTAAAAAGAAAAGAGTTTATGCGCGATAGGGTTTTATCAGCAGAATTCTTCGAACAGAATACCGATATACTCGTTTTAATAACAACCTTTAAGACATAAAATTACAATTACTGCCATTGGGCGTATGGACAAAATAATTCGATAAAGAAAGGGCGGCGTTTGAGCTTATCCGATTTTTGTGCCTATCCACATTACTCGGACCGTGAAGAAATCTCCGGCTACTGAATTGCGCAAACGACGATAAATTCTCCGCGCCGATTTGCCAATGCTCGCTCAATCTTCTCCCGCACCCTCCCTTCCTCCGACTCCGCTCTCTTCTCTCCATTTCTCCCGGTTAAGATTAGGGTTCCGATTTGAATATGAGCGGCGATCACCAGCAGCAATCGCGGCTCTTTGATGAGATGTGCGCCCTTTTCCTCACCTTTCTTCGCTCTCCCCACCTTTTTCTCTCCTCTTCGCTGCCGCCATCGATGCGGCTCAGCGCCGGAGCCGTTGCCTATCGCAGGCCGTGCTGGTCGCAGATCTCGCCGACTGGCTTCGCTTTGCTCCTCGCCGGTGCCTCGTTCGCACTCCTACTCTGTGGGTCCGTCACCTTTGTGCTTGGCTGCATCCTGTTTCCATGGGTTATGGGCTTTGTTATGGTGCTGTTCTTTGTAGGAATCATCTCCAGTCTCTCAGACATTGGCAAGGCAATCCTGTGCCCTGCTGTGCCCGAGCCATCACAGGCCTCCCCCAAGGAGGTTTCATGTAAGCGAGTTTATCATTTTGTTATGCGTTTCTATAAGGAAATTTTGACTTTACGATCGGCCCAAATATGTCTGAAGTTTGTTTTATTCTAGCAACATTTTCAAAAATTTATTTGTAAACAATATGATTTGTGTTCCAACTTTGTTCTGAAGTTTTTTCAACCTAGTTTGAACCACGATTTTATTCGTGAACCATTGTTGAACTTACCGTGAGCTCATCTTCTCCTTCGTACCACGCCAGTTCCGTGATGCCTTCCATGTGAAGTCCTCTTACCACACACTGCCAGTCCCGTGGTCCCTTTTTTCATGAGCTCCATCCCTTTTTAGTCTTGTGAACTCCGTCGCAGACACTGTTGGAACCTTTTTATAAATGCCACTAGTCCTGCGAGCTATGTTGCACACGCCATTGGTCCCCCAACCTCTTTGCGCACAACAACAATCCTACAATGCCTTCCCTCTGCGAGCTGCTTTCTTGCGAGTACCGTCGTAAATGCCCGAGATGCCTACATCGTGATCTCCTTCCCTGCAATTCTTGCCCGTGGTTTGAACCAGGTTTGAGTTCAAATTGGTTTGAACCAATTCTAAATGATTTAGTCGAATGACCAATCCGTAAATATTTGGCTAATTAGAACTATAATGAGACAAATAAAGTCAATTTTCCATTTTGTAATTTTTTTTTGAAGTTTTTATTTTATTGTTATCTTATTTGCAATCAATCCAACGCTTGACTTGTATTTTGAAAGTCAAAAGTAATACCACTGAATTAAAGCCTGATAAATCTGTAAATCATTTATGTATTCAATTAAGTGTTGTTCACAAAATAATGTAATGTTCTTAATCCTTGAATATCATTTAGCGATAAGTTAAAGGATTGGGTGCTAGAAGTTTAGATAAGTAATTATGCTTTCATTAAACCTTCATTTGGTTTGTAATCTTCAAAATTAGGTTATGATTAGATCTTTGATATATCATGTCACCTAAATATTCCTTTCACTTATTGGCTAATGTGCCAGCAGTTCTTAAAAAAACTATTGGAGTTTCTTCTAAATGTAATCATTTTAGGTTTACTCTGTCTAACCCTTTTTTTTTTTTTTTTTGAACTAATGAATGCCATAGCATATATATAATGTTGAAGACATTTAAATTCAAAACCTTGTCTACAATTTTTTAAGACCTTTACCAACTTAGCTAGCTAACACCTAAAATTATTGTTTGCTCACTTAAAATGAAAAATGTAAATAATAAAACTTTTTAGTCAACAAATCATATTATTCAACGATCGAGACAATAGTTTGTGAAAGTTTGTTGACAAACATTTCAGGTATAAATTACTGAATGTTAAAAACCATGTCGAACTCATTTATCAAATACGTTAGACATATGGAAAGATTTTTTTCCAATCACTATTGAAGTCAAACTCTTTAACACATCATAATATATCATACTATGAAGTAATTATTTAACATTAATTCATGGAGGTGTTAAATCTTGATTTGTTTGGTGGACGATACTCGACTTTACTAGCATATTTGCCTCGTGAGCTTGAGAATATGTTGATGAGGATGGATGGTAGAGAATAGAGAATAGAAGAAAATAGGCTAGCAAAATCTTTGCTATCTTAGTCAAGAATACAAGAACAAGCGCAAAGTCAAAAATGTTAAAATGTCTCAAAAGTCTCCTAACTTGTTCCTCATCATCCCTTATTTATAAGATTTTGAGGATTACATAAAAAGCTACACAAAGAAAAATTGAAATATATGGTACACAAAAAATAATTGTATAATGTCACACACTAATCTAGGACATGTGACGCCTTTTGATTGGCTGCAGGAGAATGAAGTCAACTATTTGGCAAGTTGTCTATCATCAGGCTTGCTCAAGGGGAGGGGGGCCATTAGGTGTAGGGCAAGTCCTGCAAGGAGGCAGACATGTAGTCGGTGAGTCATCTCGTGAGATTGGCGAGTGACATAGGGAGCTCAGTGTTTCCCTGTTGAGGAAGGCGAGCAAAGGTGTTAATGGAGATGATGAGTTCTTGAGTCTAATAAGAGTTGTAGCCAATTGAGTAGGGGTCATTATTGAAGATGCTTTCCTGTAAATAAGTTTAGCGAGTTCAAACAGTAAGAGCTTGGTTGAGATGAGTGGCGTTATACTTTGTTAGTGAGGAACCTCCTAGTCACCTAGCGTAGGGCGAGCTCCTGGATGGATGTGGGCAAGTGACGCCCTCTTCTTAGGTGAGTTCTTCTAGTAGCTTAGGTGTGTCCTTGGATGCATTTGCTTCTAAGGAGGAATATCTTTGTCATTACTCGATCGCTATCTGTGAAAATATTTGAAAAGGAAATTAGGGGCGTACAGAAGGATTCGACAACAACTGTGGTATAAGAAAAAATAAAATAGCATGACATTTGCTAGAGAAGATTATTACTATTATAATTTCCATTTTATACTTAAGGGAAAAATTTTTAAGATGGTGGTAAGATCTGCAATGGTTTATGGGGCAGAATGTTGGACATTAAAAAAGAAGCATAAAATTAAGTTAAGTGTTGCAAAGATAAGGATGCTCAAGTGAATGAGTAGTTTTACACTTATAAATAGGATACAAAACGAGTACATACATGAAAATGTTTGAGTAACACAAATGACATATAAGATTAGAGAGAGTCACCTTAGATGGTTTGGTCACATAAATGTCGGCCTTCCAATGACCTTGTTAGGAGAGTAGATGTATTAGATCCAACCTATGTTAAGAAAGATAGAGGTGGACCTAAGAAAATTTAGTTTGAAAGTATTAAATATGATTTTTTTTATTAAATTTAAATGATAATTTAACTCTTAATAGCACACAATGGAGAAAAAGATTCGTGAGCTTAAGTTCTTCCTATCATGATGCTTTGCTTTTTCGTGCTATGATTGCTGTTACATGATTAGCAGCAAATAAAAATAAGTTTCTTCGACATTTGCAAGCCAAGTATTTTCAAAACTGCCAATCATTTAGGAAACTGACCTTTCGTTTATTTTTCATTTGCAGGCCAACTTTTTTCAAAATTGCCAATCATTTAGGGAGAGCCAAGGAATATCCAGAGAGTAACTCCACTTAGACTTGATTGCCTGATCTTATTTCTCCGCCCATTTTAGCTGTTTTTTGGGTTCCATGAATGGATCTGTTTTCTTTTCTATTTCCTTCTTTGTTTTTCTTTCCTGCTTTCTTAGCAACTTTCTTAGGCTTCGTTTGGGACGGCTTTCTTCCTGCTTCTTAAAGCAGCTTTCTAGTACAAATATTTTAATTTTTGAACTCGAAAGCTGTTTTAAGAAGCGTCCCAAACAAAACCTTAATGTTTTCTAAAACAGCTTTTTAATATAAAGCTGCAAAAAAGTTGTCTCAAATGATGCATTAATCATGTGCATGCATAGTTTACTTTGCTCTTAGCTTTATCACAGGGAACCTGTTTTCTAATCAGGCACTGCTTGTTGCATTGTTTAGCTTCAGGAATTCATCAAATTTGTAAAAAAAAACTTTCTCAAAAGTTTGTATTTTATTTGTAATTTCGCTTTACCTTCTTTAATTTCTTAAGCTTGGTTTGGGACAGTTTTTTTAATACCTTAGTTTACATATCTCAATCATAATTTCTATTTGGCCGCTGATTTTTTGTTGCTTAAAAAAAAATTATACTAGTTTAAAATGGTAAGTTCTCTATAATAATTTAATAATTTTATAAATCAGTAAAAAAATTATCCTAAATAAAACCTTGAGAGCAAGGAGTATACTAACATTGGCAATAAAGGCTTAAATGCTGATTGATTGCAAGGAAAATGAGAGGGTGTTTGTATTTTCCTCCTTTAGTTTACCTAATTATTGGTTAGCTTCTTAAAGCTTGACAACTTATCAAATAAATCTTAATTAATGAAGGTTGGATGGAAAAAATAGGTGTAAATATATTCTGTTTACATGTTTTTATATATTTTTTTCTTTTTTTTATTTAAATTAGAGCTTTTTTGGATTTGAAATATTTGATATAAATAAATATAAAAATTTAGGGCATAGATATGTAAAATCTTGTGGAATTTGCTCATGAGATTATATTTTAGTATTTTTTTTTTTACTTTAGAGAGTACTATAACTCACCAGCCCCAATGTATATATGATTAGAATAATTAAATTTTCACTAATGTATTATATAAGGAGCTTGGTCAGTCACTTTGATATAAGATAGGTATGTGTGACAGGGCATTTATGTCAGTAAAATAAGAGATTAATGTCTTAATTTTTATGTGAAGATCTATTATATTCAAATGAAGGAAGGGCTAAAGATTGTAAGAACATCATAAATTTTATGTTTAATATATATAATTTATTTAATTAAAATGATTATATTAGTGTTTATCATTAATCACAAATGATGCCCTCTTTCGTGATTTGGGAAGGTGTTGATATAGATTGTTGGATTCAAATGTGTCTGTAATTGACACTTAATATTACTGACAAGTAACTCTTTGCAAAAACCTAATATCATAGAGTATGGTAAAAGAAAGTAGAAGATGTAAGAAATTTGTGAGAGAATTAACAAAATTAAGATATTAAGAATACTTTAAGAAAATTAAGATCAATAATGCTTCAATGAAAAGTCTAAAATGTACTTCTTCATCATTTATTTATAGAGATCTGAGTGATATCATGAAAGATGTTTTTTAAGTGCACAAGGTTTTTGGCCTGGTCCTTGATTTCAAGGTGAGTCCCTAAGCGAGTCTTCGCAGGCACGCAATGTGGTTAGTCTTTTGAACGTGTTGGCAAGTCTCTAGGTGCAGTTCATAAGCTATTAAGTGTGAATGACTAGTCGATTTAAGTCATGATAATCGTGCGCTCAAAGAGGCTTATTCTGGAGAAACGAGCTATTAATCTAGTGAGATGCTCATGCCCTATGGCTATCTTGGAGTCTTAGCGATAGCTTATTTATTTCAACAAGGGCAAGTAGCTTTGGAAGTTGATCCCCACCGAGGAGAATAATCCTTAAGAGCATGGATGGATATATATGAGTTTCTTGAATCTTATGATGACTCTCTAACATGACCTACTTGGATGATTCACATTTCTCATCTGACGAGTGCCCATTGCCGACGAGGAAAATGCTTTGACTCAACTCATATTGTAGAACATATTAGGTTTGAGTTCTTCTATATGAACATGTTAGATAGCCGTGAGAGATAAATTTGGACATATACAATTACAAATTTGGTTCCACGATTCACTTACTATTTTGAGGCGAGTTGCAAAAATGAGGAGTGAATTAATTAAGAACATTTCTATTGCTACCAAATACTAAAAAAAAAAGTCATTATTAAGTTATTGCAATATTATTACTATAGTATCGAGCGTCATGCATATCATCATCTTAAGCATGATGTAAGACACTCACTTCTTCCTCCTATAAGTATTGGCTCGAGAGGTGAGAGCTCTTTACCATAGAGCCCAATGTCAAAATTGATTTGTTGGAAAAAGTGAAATGGACTTTGTCAAGATAGCAATATCCAGCTATAAAGCAATATCCAGCTATAAGCGAGTGAGGAGAGACACCATTTGGAAGTTTAAAGAAAAGAAGCAGAAAATGCCCTGAGTATTTTGTGAGTAAAGTGAGGATCATCGAGGCGAGTCCTTTTGCGACTTCTTTCATGAATAATAATGACATCCTCTTGACTCTAGGTTAGCCAAGCAAATTCCTATTAGACGTATAGCAAAGATTGTGGTTTTTGAGGTGGCCTCTGATAAAGTTTTGGTGACTCTAGTGGGGTCGGGTCTGCTACTACTAGGGGTGTCTAAATGTGTTTTAGAGTCGGGTTCGGGTCCAACCCAAAATGACCTGCCATCATTTGACTCGATTCGAACCCAACCATATAAGGGAAACATGTCACAAACTCAGACCCAAACCTAACCCCATACAAACCCGGGTCGACCCGACATGACCCGTCAACCCTTTTTTAATATATATATTTTTTTCTAATTACATTTCTTACTTTCTTCGACCAAATCATGTAATAAATCTGCTCTACTACTTGCTTTGTCCATTTTCACGCACAGACCTAAAATGAAATAGCGAACTGTGGTGCGTGATGTGCATCCCCTTCCTTCTATTTTGCGCGCTTCGTCTATGGCCAAATCCTGTAAATCCATTTCGCATGCTTTGTCTTCATGGGCTTCATCTTTCGCTTTTACACGTTGAACCACTGAACCGAACTAAAATAATGTTCTGTGAACAAAAAGAAATCTCGCCTCCTACCCCGCTCCCATTTGGATTTCACGTGCTTCTTCAATAGGATTTGTAAATCCATCCGACCCTAGTTAAAATAAGATTTATTTTGATTTGGTGTGTTGACTCGGACCTGACCCATTTATTAAACAGGCTAGATTCTTAAACTCAAACCCGACCCATTTGTTAAATGTGTCAACTGTGTAACAACTCAAACTCTTAACTATCAATATATTATCTGCTTTGTCTAAAAAAACCTTACGGTTTTATCCTGTTGGTATAACTTCCCAATGAATCACCCATCCTAGAATTGCTCTAGAATGGACACGCTTAATTATGGAGATTCTTACAAAAATTCTAGCCATTTCATCAAAAGGTGTCTCGATATTTATGAGTTAGTTTTTTTTTTTACTTAAGGGGTTTCATAATCTCCCCCACTTAAGTAACTACATACTCGTAAATATCTATATCTCAGAATCATCCACCAGGAAGATAGGACTCTAGGGATGGCCCCTACAAGTTCAAGTGTTGGCTCCCATCATATAGCACTTTGTCCCATATAGGATTCAAGAGGTGGCTCTCATGGAGTAGCACTTTGTCTTATATGGCATTTATCTCCCATCTTACAGCTGGTGTATTGCTCTTGTATCATTTGTAACAGTCCAAACTCTTAACTATCAACATATTGTCCTCTTTGGCCTAAGAGCCTTATGGTTTTATCTTATTGGTATGACATTCCAGTAGGTCACCCATCCCAGAATTGTTGTGGGATGAGCATGCTTAATTGCATAATTTCTTACAAAAATTTCAGCCATTACACAAAAAGGTGTCTCAATGTTTAAGAGTTAGATTTCTTTTACTTAAGGGATTTCACAAACTTGAACCTGGAAATTATAGGCCATGTTGACGGGTCAGATCCATTTTTGACACCCTTAGCCACTGCTTTGGGGGAAGGTAAGAAGAAAAATTATTTAGAAACATTATAAAGAATCCTATCTAGTAGAGTCAGGTGTCTTTGTGTAGTAGTGAAGCCAAAGTATGTCACTTATCGAGCAAGCTATTATAACGCCCACTAAGAGAGTTCAAGTCATTAGCATTATTTCAGTGGGCACTTAGCCTATATATGAAGACGATGACCCTCCATGATAGGCTCATAGCTCTCCTTTAGATTTTTTTTTTTGGATAGAAACTTTTCTGATGTTAATATATCATTATTGACCTTATGATCATCCTATAAGTGATAAGCACCTCTGTGGAACGCCTAGCAAAGAATGATGATTTAGTGGTGGATATTATGGAAGAAGTAGTAGAGCATTTTGCAATTCAAGAAGCTCCGACAACTCAACCTACAATGATAGTTGCAGCACCATCCCTCTCCCTCTCCCTCAATGAGTTGATGCATATCCCTTATGGTTATGGGTGATGATGTATCTAAGATTGCTTTTACTTTTTTAGTTTTACCTTGATCCTCTTTGGAGTGAGGTGGAACCCCATAAACCTATCAAAACCTACACCAAAAGTACATATTATACATTTTTTTTAATATTGAAAATGTCTCCTTTAGCTCTTAGACATATTACTTTGGTGAAGTGTTCTTCATTAGAAGATCATCCACATACACTTTATGTGATGCCCTAGGATCTAATGGATGATTGAATTCCTAAACCTACAATTTTAACTCAACTACAAAGCAGGATAGACCAAAGCTAAATATGAAATCCAAAAATACCAACATAAACATTATTACATTTTCATTTCTAAAAATTCATATACAATAATCCAATACACATTGAATTTAAACATAAAAAGTATTAATACTAGATTATAAAAGAATATCTTAACTAATTTGATTCAGAGGATCTGAACTCTATCTTCTTCAACTCTACTGAGCCTTTTTTTTTCTTGAAATGTCTGAAAGTATCATAGAGTGAGTATAACCAGCTTAGTAAACTGTTATCACTAACCAATCACAGATATTAATATCCTTTTTAAATTTCAACAATAATTTATTTAAAGATTCAGTTAATCAATAAAAAAGGAATTATGTATTAGCAAAAATAATTACTAATATGTACTTGAGTTCTAAATGATTACGTGTACTTTCACAACAACCTTTATAGAATTATCAGAGATGTCAAAGAACAATTTCCACTATAATATTACTGGCACTTAGTTTTCTCATTTCATCAGAATTCATTAAAAAATATCAGAATCAACTAAAATTAATTTAGAATAGCATTTATATATTAATTATTAAATTATCAGATTATATAATACATTAGTGTAATATGCATGTTCTGATGTGTGCTTATAACACTACTTCC